TTGCCTTTCCAAGCTGAAGCAAACCTTGTCATTTAGGCAGAGGTATCACAAGACTATAACGTAAGTGGAACATTCTTAAATAACCCCACTTTTTTTGCTTTCCTCTTTTTTAGTCTTTTATATTCTATATGTCATGCTATAGCCCAAACCATTATGGTGGAGGGTCTTTGACAATATCATAAAAATAGAAACGAAAGTTCATAACAATGTCTTTGGCTAAGTACTTTTATATCCATTTTAATATTCAATATGACCAAATTTTCCATGTAAAAGAAATTAATGTACATTTAAAGGACGTTGTATGACGTTTCCAGAAGAAAGTGGATATACTTAATATACAGCTTGTCTCCAGTGGACTTCAAATTTCTTGAAGTCTGCTGCTGTGTCCTGTTCACCTTTAACAACAATAGGACCGCACAGCTCATTGAAACACTCACACAGAGGTTCTTTCACCTGCTCCAGGTTCAAAAGGATGGTACTTTAAATTCCACTAGATTTACTCTGAATGACTTTTACCTGTAAAGCAGTTATTATAATTTATATCTTAGGAAATAAATAGTTTTCATTGAATATCCATTATTTTAATTGGGATACAGAATATACATGATTTCTCCCCCTTGGTGAGTTTATATTCCTGGAACGGAAATGGAGTTTTTCTTTTTATCTGTCTCTCATGTTCCTCCCCCATCATGAGCAACAGCCTGTGGATGCAACTCGAGTCAATTACTAAAACATGCATTTTATTAAATTCTATTAAAATTGCTGCATCTTAACACAAAATCCCTATGTACATTTATTGCTATAGTGTCCCCTAGCATCATATTCCAGATGTCTCCTCAACAATCTGCTTAATGAAGTTTCTCTCCCACACACAGCACTATTTTTAAAACTTTATGTTAATGTGTTATTCTGCTCATTTTGACTGCATTTTACTCCTTCTTAACATTCACTTTACCAATGAGGTCCTTAAGCACAAAACAGTGTCATTTTTTCAGGAGAAATCTTTTCTCAACACTCACTAAATATGCCTGTATCTATCAGCAGAGGCAAAGAACAGCATTCACATTTCTTTCATTTTATTCCATTATTTTGGAATAATTCTAAAATACTTTAAATCTGATGTAAATTTTATACTGGTGCACATATTTCTACTAACACATATTCCCTATTATCTAAAGCATTATCATTATCTTCTCTCCTAGACTTTTCCCCTCCCCAGCCTTTTGGAACCAGTATTTTTCTCACTTCTTATATGCCATCACATTACTCCTAAATAGCACTTCCTCCTAATTATTTATTAATATTAATTCTTCACAACATATCTATATCTGAAATGAATTAAAAAGAGGGGAAACACGCAACCAACTAAAGACCAAACACGGAAGTTTATGCAAGTTATTTAGAGAATCACATAACCTAACCTTCATTCACTAGTTCTTGGCATTATTTTTAAATAATTTTAGCTGGTATTTTTCAACCCACAGTAGCAATAATAGTACAATGAACAAAACTGAACAAAATCAGCTGTTCTAACACATGGGGCCAGAAAGAAAACCAAGTAAAAACTGTAAAAAACAAATATCAGAACTCGAAAGTCTAACATTGGGCCAGTACATGAAGGTGGGGTCTGGCCTGGTGTTTGTAGGGCCTGAAGAGCCTTCCAGCATGAGAACACAATTTACATAATCACTCCTCATGCTCACAGAAAATACATACCAACATAATCATCAATTTGTTCACTTTTTTTTTTTTGTTTTTCATTAATTCACAAGGTGAAACAAGTAGAACAGAAGAAGGCATGGTGATGAAAATGACTGATTTTGGTGGGCCTAAAACTTGGGACAGAGACCTCACAACCTATATGGTGGATAGCTTAAACAATGTTGAACGGCTCTTACTAAAGTTTCAATGGTTTCAAATATTCAGACATTAGCCTTTCTCCTGACTCTAGGTAACTCACTTCCCCCCAAATTCTTGTTTGTTTTTGTGCAGATTTGAACCATTTTCTCCTCGTATTCTTCCCACCCATTATATCAGATCTCCCCTAGACCTTGGAGAACTCATTAGGAATTTTCCTGCAGAGACCATTCTTTCCCTAAAAGAATTCTGGCTTCACCTAATAAATGCAACTTCATCATAACTCCACAAGAACATTGCATATTTAAGCAACATGTTAGCATCACTGTTACAAAATACCTTGGAAAATCGACTTAAGGAAAAAAGGATTTATTTTGGCTTACAATTTCAGATGTAAGGCTCCATGGCCACTTGGCTGGATTATTTGAGTCTGTGGTGAGTCATATTGCAGGGAGAAAATAATGTGATGCTCACCTCTGTCTGGCCCAGAAGCAGACAGTAAGAGGTGGCTGCGTCCTAATATGCCCTTCCAGGGCCCGCCTCCAGTGAATTATTTCCCCAATCAGGCCCCACCTCCTGAATGTTGCACCAATTCCCAACAGCATCATAAGGTTGGGCTTTGGGGGACATTTCAGATATAAACAATAATATTCATAGAGTATAGATATGTTTTTAAATTATTAAAGTCACAGACTTCTACTCTCTAAAATTATGACTGGGCAAAGATAAAGATAACTAACACATTACCAATAAGCTACTAAAATTAACACAAATTTATGTCACAAACAACAACAAAGAAAAAGACTTTGTTCAGGTAAGTTGAATAAGTAGTCAACTATAATTGGATCTGTCCCCAAGATCCCTGCAGTCTACACACTTTTATCCTGAAGATTTTTTTTCTGTTGTTAAGACACTGTCCCCTTCAGGAAAATTGCTTAAAGAATCTTTACTCACCAGACAAAAATACAACTGGTTGTATTCAAATCTGCATGCATTTAATTTGCAAAATTAAGAACCAAGATATATCAAGTAAAGGAAAAAATTTCCAATGATGAATGTCATTATATTGTATACCTAAAATGTACCAATAAAATTATTTTTTTTTAAGTTTGGAATAATAATAAACTGATACATTCAATGCCAAAAATAATAATAATAATTTGCAGGATCACGACATTTGTAAGACAAAGCATATACAAACAAAACTTTAGGAAATGACAGAAGTTTTGCCTATGTCTGGCTAATTTTCAGATAAATTAGTAAGATTTTGCACTTTTTTTAGACGATTAAATGTGTATGATTTTTAACTCACTGAACTTTCATGAATAAAACCAAAGAGAAAAAGAGTATCTCAGACTTAAGTAATCCATCAACTTGTTAGACATTATTTCAAACTTAATAGGTTCATGGTTCCAACACTGTCATCTACTTAGTTATAAACAGCAAGTTACTATTAGCTGTTATTGAACTGAGAATGAATCTAATCACAGAGACCTACATTTCTAAACATTGCTTAATTAGTCTAATGCATTGTCTTTTAAATTAAGAACATTTCAGTGTCATGGTGAAAGATCAATTGATTTCAATTCTACTTAAGAGAAATGCTTTTGTGGTTGAAAAGCCAACTATACTGCTTTTTTTCTTAAAAGAAAATTGAAATTACTCAGCCATACCACATGCTTCTTGTATAAGTTTAATTTGGGTTCATGACTTTTTCACCGCAGAAAGTATCGTGCAAAGAAAATAACCCTGTTACTTGCCTGTTGATTTGCACAAAATTTTTAAATGTTTATATACTTGATATAAGACTACTTTATACTGCTGTGTTATTAACATAACCTTGCTTATTCTGGGTGTAATTTTTTCTAATTCTCTTATATGTCACCCCATTTACCCCATGAGGCCATTGAACTGTAAATTTGGAGACATTATTTTCAGCAAAGCTTTCAAGTTGTAAAATCAAAAATATAAACTATAATCTCAATATGAGAAAAGTCAGTAAGTCTGGGGAAGCAACAATGTTGTGTGCCAATAAAAAAGACTGTTATGTCTCAAAATATAACAATGGAGTCAATTATCAGAAGTTAAATAAAAGAATGAGATACTTATGTCAAAAGTATTTTTGTAAATGTAATCAATGAAAATCTGCAAATTTTAGGAAAGAATAGGCATTACATGTTTTTAAATTTACCAATATTAAAGTTTGGTTTGAGATATGTTTCTGTTAAAATTAATAATTTAACTTCATTGGTTCATATAAAATGGATGAAAATTAATCCACAAGCTTGAGGAGTAATCAAAGCTTACCATATTATAAAATTAGTTAGAATGAATAGTGGGTTATGGAATATCAAGCTTGGCTAGTAGATACATGGTGAAGAGCACTAAAATTTGGAATGGAAAATCCAGATTCAAGCTACAGTTTCTTTAGGAACTTACATAGGTAGATTTGATTAATAAGATCTATAGATTTTTTAAGCCAGACATTTGGTTTGAAACATTGTCTGCTCTTCACTAACTCTTTACTAGCTGGGACATCTGGCTCCCCAGTTTCTCCTTCTCCATCCATTAACAGACATGTACTCTATCTCACAAGGATTAACTCAGACAACAGATAGAGGTTCTGGATCATAATGCTTAGCACAGATAATGTTCAACAAATGTCAGTTCTGTTTGTCTCTTCTTCCCTTTCACTCTTGGAACCTGAGTTTGCTTTGCTATTAAAAGAAGGGATAATAAAGGTAATGTAAATAAAGTTAGCATAACAACCCATTACTATTATAACTGATAAAATGAATATAGGTTTATATGAAAATGCTTTGCAAACTGTAAAGCTATGTCATCCTTTAGAACAGTGAGAGTTTTTGTTTGCCCATTGTCACCTAAAGTAAAGTGTATGGTAATAAAGAAGTACTTCTAAATATAGAAAAGAAGGATTTATAACTTCACTTTAGAAATATCCCATTCAGAATACTGATGTCTATTTTATGTATGCTATATTCACCAAATTTATTCTAATAACTTCATGAAAAGACTTCTATAAATGGGGCAAGTCCTTAGATAAGTATCAATTATAAGATCAAATTTATTTATCTTTATGAAATATTTTAGTTCATTTTGAGTTTTTAAATAAGTCTCTCATATGTCTGGTTATAGGACATAATAGCAAAATAAATTGCTTTACTCCAGAGCTTGACATTACCTTGCACCCTCTCAGGGGGTTGCAGGCATTTCAACTGGGGCTGTAGACACCTGAAGGCTTGGCCTGAGCTAGTGGATTTATATTCAAAATAGTGCACTGATGAGCAGGGAGCTGGCAATGCTGTTGTCCGGAGATCTCAGTGCCTTATGATGTGGACCTCCTTCACATAACTACCTCATGATGTGGTGGCTCTTCTCCTCCAGTCTTTTCTGGAAAATAAGACAGAAGCAAGAAAGAAGACAAGATGTCTTCTATGATTCAGTCTCAAAGCTGACACACCAATCTTACCCACATTTTTTTAAAAAAGGTTTATTTGTTATGCAAGGAGACTATACAGAATGTGGACACCAGGGCACAGGACTCATTGGGGTCAGTCTTGATTCTGGTTGCCACAGGGTGTTACTTGGGAAAGTTATGAAGGGACTTCTTGAGATTTGGGAAATATTCCAAATCTAGATGTGGGTGTTGGTTACACAAAAGTATTTACACGATTCATATATATGTATATAAAATTTTCTTTATTATGTTATTTTTCTATGTATATTTTATTCTGACATTTTTCATTTAATAAAAATCGATAGGTATAAAATAGAAAAATGTAAGAAGTGCATTTATGTACATTTCACTTTATTTCTTAAATAGTGAATCCTGGAATGATTTTATAATTGCATAGCACTGAAAACTAAAATCTTCATCAGGCTGAAACATCATATTTAGTACATCATATCTTCTACCATTATCTCATTCTCCCACTCAATCTCCAATTGATTCTTTTGTTTCCTTTAATGAACCAAATCCTTATTTAGAAATCTGAAATGGTGTTTGTCTGTTTGTAACACTCTGTTCTATTTGTTCTTCCTTTAGTTTCTAGTTTAAAATGGCTTCATCAAGTGAATTAGTAAGGTAACTACTCATTTAGAGGATTGGTAATTTCAGAAAAAAGAAATAGGCACTTGTGATGTCTTTGTTGATAAAAATTGTGTTTCAAGGTGACCAAATACACCAAAATGATAATAGAAAAAATTTTTAAATTAATAATATAGAGATAATTATGTATACATATAATACACACAGGCTGACTGATAGATTAGAAGAAGATTAATTTTGCAACTACAGTGATAAAATTAGTAAACAAGTATAATAGTATTAGGTTAAAGATCAAGAAGCAACTAGGCATTTTGCAGGGAGCTGAGGTACCATTCCACAGATTGCTTGTTGTTTTCCAGAGTTAAATATAATCTCATCCTGGAAAGATTTTATCAGCTTTATATTAACCCAGAAATCGGGCTGAAAATGAATGCTACTGATAAAACCTACATTACACTTTTTTGTTTTTTTAAATGGGACAATATGAAGTATAGAGTGTCATCTGTGGAGTGAAAATTGAGAGTTGTTAGAATACAATTCATATTTACAAAAAAATAGAAAGGATAGAAAAACAAATTAAAACACACTGCTAGGAGATAATTTGGACATATATAAAAGGTAGAATATCTCCCGAGCCAGTTGATACTATCTCTTTAACATTACAGTCAGACACACACACACACACACACACACACACACACACTCATACCACAAACAAGAGCACACAGCCCAGTTGGTTGGAGTGAGAGAGTAATAGTACAGATTAAGAGATGCCAAGGCAATGCAATGCTTGGGTTTGACAATAGTTTAAAAAAACAATAAAAAAGTTACCACTTTGGGGAAAAATTTAGAAGATTGAATATGTCAGGAAATTAAACAGTAGTATGGATATTTTGATACCATTTTAGTAATAATACTGATTTTAAATCAGGTACCAGATGATCTTTTAGTTTAGAAATACCTCAAAATGTTTAGGTGTAAAATGTCAATGTGTATAATTTACTTTAGTAAAAAAGGCTGACATAATTATGGAAGAAATATTTCTAAAAATCTAACTTTAGTGGGCAGGGGATTTAGCTCAGTGGCACCACACCTGCCTTACATGCACAAGGTCCTGAGTTCAATCCCTAGTACCACAAAAAAAAAAAAATGTAACTTTAAAAATTTTATTTTTTTATTTCTGTCTTCTTCATCCCTAGTGGATTATATAAGAACCTATAAAAACACATTTGCAGATGTTTTCATCACATCTATTATAATAGTTTATTTAGTTAATATTTATATTCAGTACTACACAGCGATAACTCAGTAGCAAGTTCTGTGTTCTTTTGTTAAGCATTTCATTAAAATGTTCACTATTTGATGAAGAAATGAGACACATGGAAATTTCTCAATTATCTGATCATTTATTTTCCTTTTTATATTTTTCCCTTAATATTGGACAATTTGTCTTCCTAATCACAATTCTACCAGTAAAAATTATGTCTCTACTATCATTTCATGAAGCTATGATACTGCCATCAATTTCTTCATTGCTATAGGATTATTACTCTGTCATAACAAAAGTAATGTGCTCAATCTATATGTAGCTAATCATTTGTGTCTGAATTACTCTCTAAAGTCCTGAAATCAGAGACAATGTCTTGTAATCTCTCTCTGCTTCATAGTTTATTACTTTTAGAGCTAAAATATATATTTTCACTGGGGCTCATGTGCCCAATATACCTTTTATTGTACTGTTTTTTAAAAAGTTCCAATATCCTTTGAGACAAAATATAAGGGGTATTTTTGGAAGTTGCATTAAGTATTTCATAACATTAATGAGCACAATAGGATTAGACAAATCCAGTCTTTCATCACTAATGGTCAGTACCAGTCTGGGCAGGTGCCAGGATATCAGGCACAAGTTAAGAAGCAGGGCACTGCTCAGGGATGAACAATGTGCCAAGCCACATGGGGTCAAGGGCCGAAGCAGGTTGAAGCCAAACTAAATCTTGTGACTCTTGTTGTCCCAATGGCTTTGTTATTCCGGAGACAACTGTAGAATATTGGGAAATCTTTGAGCCCAGGAATTCAAAAGCACATGAGATGAAAGGAGAATGTGCAGAAGCAAAAGGGCCATCACAGGCCACAGATCTAAATGAACAGAAAGTCACTGTTATATTTTTTTGGGCTTGGTGGGTGAGAGTATGCACTTCTGGTTACTGTTGGGATCCATTGCTATTAGTCTACATCTTACGCACAATTTTTATAGCTTTCTACTACCCTGTCTTAGCCTCCCACCCACCACGAGAACCACACAGGAGAAAGGAAAAATGGCAAAAGAAGTTTGTCAAAATTCAAAACTATTGGGTTTTCATAAAACAAATGAGAAAAGAGGCAGAACACACCTCCTCAGGCCTCTGCACGCTTGGGACATGGACATTCCCAGCCCGCCTGCCACTACATAGTATCTTATGAGGCCAGCAGGTCTCCAGAACCACCTCACTCGAGGTGAACATAACTTAGAGAGTTTTTCATGGAGTTTATAAGCTTACATTAGTGCTTTATTAATTGGAGAGAGGCATCTTCATCCCTATTTCCAAATTACCCTTCCCTCTATCTTGAAATGGACAGCAACACTTTCAATATAAAGGCATGAAATCATTGCAAAACTTTGTGCTTTTTTTGAAAAATATTCCTATTTTATTATTTAATTTTCCCAGGAACTTATGATTTCTAAACTGGGGTTTCATTTTATTTTCTTTTACTTAAAATTAAAATCATGCATTCCACAAAGCAGAAATAGTTTCTTAAAAGCATTAGGCAACCACTTGCACAAAATCATATTTTGACAGATTTTATATACTAAAAATTATACTAGATGTATTTTGGGAAAACACTGATGCATTAAAATATATACAAAGTAGTTTACATGATTATTCCAGAAAATAAAGACCCCAAAAGAAGCTAAGACCTGAGCCTCAGCTAGAGCTTTATGCAGAATAATTGGTGCATGACTGTTAACGCACACTGAAATGAACCAGAATGAGACCCTGCACAGTGCCAATCCTTTCTTCAGATTGTCCAAGTGGCCATCATTGTGGAATTAATAGTCATTTGGAATGCAAGTGTTCATGCACACTAAATAAATTCTATGACCGGTTATCTACAAGAGAAAATATGGCAAATCTAATTTGTGGCTTAAACATCATTATGATGAGAAATGTCTGTTCATTTCAGATGCCCACTTATGAATTGCATCTTTAAATTTGTGGGGTGTGATTTTTCAAGTTCTTTGTGTATTCTAGATAGTAAACCTTTGTCTGGGGAACAGCTGGTAAAAAATTTTTCCCACGTGGTGGGTTGTCTCTTCAGGCTGTTGGTGGTTTCTCTTTCTGTGCAGAAGCTTTTTAATAAGATGAGATCCCAGTTGTTGATTCTTTGTGCTAGTTCATGTGCAACTGAGATTTTGTTCATGAAATCTCTTCCTACATAAATATCTTCAAAAATTCTACCTAACCTCTCTTCCAGCTGGTTTAGTGTTTTTCTGTTTTAATTTAGATCTTTGATCCATTTCTCTTGTAGTTTAGTGCATGGTGAGAGATACGGGTCTACTTTTGATCTTTAACATGTTGAAACCCAATTTTTCCAGCACAATTTATGAAAGAGATTATCTAGTAGAAACAGCAAATAAACATATGAAAAAAATGTTCAACATCAGTGCAAATGATGCAAATGAAAACAACACTGAGATTCCACCTCACTCCAGAAAGAATAACGGCTATCAAGAAATCAACCAATAACAAATGCTGGTAGGGTTGTGGGGAGAAAGGAACCCATCTCCATTGTTGATGGGAGTTCAAACTGGTGCGACCACTGTGGAAATCAGTATGGAGATACCTCAAAGAACTAGGATTGGAAGTCCCATTTGACCCAGCTATTCCCCTGT